GTTCCCTGAAACCATGCCTTTAAATGAAAACTCCACTTCAAAGGAAGGTACACCTCCTCTTGTCACTGAGCCTTGGGCTGCTTCTGAGACAGCACAGAATACTGCCTGGTCACTCCAGAAATGAGAATAATGAGTAGTTTCCTACTGCTGGAAACAGCACTCACTTTGGATGAAGGTTGTGGATCAATCAAGCTGGAACTGAGCTGGACGCTTTCTCCTTTATGCCTGGCATACATCATTGCTGGAAGGTGGTAGGCAGGTTGCTGGGGTTCAGGGGAGCCATGGAGTTCTTTCCTAACTGTACACAGACCTGGTGTTACCTAACTCAAACTGCACTGGTGCAATCATGGGAAAACTGTTTCGTGGTAAATCAACAATTCTGAATTGGAGGCCTGCTCCAGGGGAGGGAATACATTCCTCATACTATAAACGTGTCAAGCCAATAGTGCGGGAGGTCTGGAAGCTCTAGCTGAGCGGACATGTCAACTGTTCAGTACATATCTTTTAACCTACACATTGGTGTCAACTCACAACCTTTGAGACAGAATCTCTTACAGCAGTGAGGAATGGTCAACCAAAGACTCATAATTAATCAAGTGCTCGGAGAAAGGAACTGCTGAGTGCTCAGCCTTAACTAGGACACCCACTCCCATCCGGAGGCTCAGGGCAAGGGAGGGGAAAGACCAGACACAGAGGAGCACTTACGAGGTTGCCTTCTGGATACGGCATGCCAATCGCAATTACAAACAAGAGTTTTCACAAGGCTGGGACACACATGGATCAGGAAAGAGCTGGATTAGTTTGGAAAGGAAGGGGTCAATAGGTGTGGATTAGGAGTAAGAGAAGGCAAGGGGTGGGGGAGACTGTGATTACAACATATTGCACACATCCAGAAGGAAAGAGTGAAAGAGCACACGTCAAGATGGTTCAGCAGGTTCAGCACTGGCTGCCAATTCTGGCAACCTCAGTTGGATGGCTAGGACCCATCCACTCCCCTTATTTGTCCGCTGACCTCTACGTACATACACACATGAATGCAATGAAAATTTAGGATACAAAAATGCTATTAAGCTTAATTGGCAATAAATTGAAAAATATTCAAATTATATTTTTCCCCTCTGTACTGGCAGAGGTCACAGTTTGCAAGGCAGGTTATCTGACTATTGGCATAAAACGTGGAGGGTGAAAAAAAATGTGAGCAGAGGGTACAGGTGCTTGCACCACAAGCCTGATGACCTAAGTTCAAATCCTGATGCCCACACAAAGGGAGAATACAATGGTGTCCTCCACATGTGTGCCAGGGCACATGCATACCCATATGCAACTACTAGAGAATTAAAGGGGGTAACCAGCATGTTGAGACGGCTTAGCCATTCAGGCCAGGCCCACAACCAAACAAAAAGAGGGGAAGTAATGAAATAAGAGCTCTCTTGGTGTGGCTGGGTGGAAATGGGGTGAAATTCCTATGCAGAAGGAGGTAGTCTGGGAGAAAGGAAGAAATGGGCAGGCAAGTGGGGAAGAGCAGTGTTATGAAGTCCTCCTCTACAATGTTAAATCAGAAGCAAACCACCTTAAAACAAATCCCTTCCCTTCTGACGTCGTAGGAACTGTCCTAATGTATGGGGCGCCGTGTGGTGCTGCTTTGAAGAGAACCAGAGGAGAGACACAGACATACTATGATTAAGCAGCAAGATTTCTACTAGGAAGTGGACACGGCCTGCAGCATGTGAGAGAGACACTGAGGAGCTCTTCCCAGACTTAAGTGAAATCCAGATAAAGAGCTTCAGACTTCACTGAGCAAGTTCTATACATAGATGGGGTGTGGTTTGCCTCCCAAGCAGGCAAAGACACAGATTAATGGGCAGTTTCTGTATAGAAGCATAGAATAAGGAGCAACAGAAAGGATAGGGTGTGCCAGAATCATGACTGATGGCAGCTGAGTGGACTATTAGTACTGAGCAGCTTTGAAAGCATTTACATTTTTTTTTTAATTTATTGTAACTTTTTTCATTTTTTCCCAGCTGTGGCCCCCTCCCTCGTCCACTTCCAAACCTACCCTGCCTCCTCCTTCTCCTCCCATGTACCTTCCCCAGTCCACTGATAAGGGAGGTCCACCTCCCTTTCCGTATAATCTTAGCCTATTAGGTCTCATCAGGACTGTCTGCAATGTCCTCCTCCGTAACCTGGTAAGGCTGCTGGACCCCCTCAAGGTGATCAAAGAGCCAGCCACTGAGTTCATGTCAGAGACAGCCCATTCCCCTTAATAGGGCACCCACTTGAGCACTGAGCTGCCATGGGCTATATCTGTACAGGGTGTCTATGTCATCTCCGTACATTGTCCTGGGTTGGATTATCACTCTCAGAAGAGACCCTTGGGCCCAGATTTTGCTCAACAATGTTTGTAGCAGCTTTATTCGTAATAGCCAGAACCTGGAAACCAGCCAGATGTCTCTCAAGTGAAAAACGGATACAGGAATTGTGGTCCATTTACACAATGGAATACTACTCAGCAATTAAAAACAAAGAAATCATGAAATTTGCAGGTAAATGGTGGGAACTAGAAATGACCACTGAGTGAGATATCCCGAAGTAGAAAGACACACATGGTATATGCTCACTTATAAGTGGATATTAGGCACATAATATAGGATAAACATACTAAAATTTGTACACCTAAAGAAGCTATTCCAGAAGGAGGACCCTAGGTAAGATGGCCACTCCTCATTCAGAAAGGCAAAAAGAACAGACATCAGAATTGGGAGAAAACAGGCAACAGGACAGGAGCCTACCACAGAAGGCCTCTGAAAGACTCTGCCCAGCAGGGTGTGGAAGCAGATGCTGAGACTCCTAGCCAAACTTTGGGCAGAGTGCAGGGAATCTTATGAAAGAAGGGGGAGATAGAAAGACCTGGAGGGGACAGGAGGAGAGCAACAGAACCAAACTTTGAATGCATTTTGAAAGGAAAGCAGTGGGCTATGAATGGCAAGAAGCCAAAAATCAGATCTGAGTCTTGAGCAACTAAGAACCTACTCAAAGGACACTGTAGGTACTCACCTCATCAAGGCAAGTATCTACATCGACTGTTGTCAGGAACTCACAAACCCAGGTCAAAGGTCATCTGAGTGGAACTGATTTCTCCACTCAAGGCATAAACAATCCAGACAACCCAAAGCTGGGAGACCTGGAGCAGACAGCAAAGCACAACAGGACCTCTAAATAAAGTCTCCTTCTTGCCCTCCTTTGGGGTAAGCTAGATGTGGGTGGGACTCAAACTCTGGACTCACACACAGTAGGAGCACTGCACTGGGTGGGCCTGCATGCCTACAGCTCCAGAAATTTACAGACTGGATAAAGATCATTTAAACCCAACCACTAACATTCTTAAACTGCTGTCTAGCACACGTGTTTGCCATTTCCTTCAGGAAGACAGAATTTTTTCCCCTGAGGTCTGTTTTCACACAGTTCTGAAATAACTGCACAATAGAGTCAAAACATCTTTATTATTTTTAGGATCATTTTGTACACTTCTGTACAAATACAAGAATATAGCCAATATTCACAGGTATTGAAAAGAACTCTGGATATTTAAACCCAGCACCTAAAAACAGTAGCTTGAAGCAGGAACTTCAAGACTGGCAGGCAGAGTAAACATTCTTTCCTTTGAAGAATTCCCTTAAAGCTAAGGTGTTTATAAACAGAATATAAAATAGGAAAAGCAACCTCACTTGCATATTTTAAGCCCTTCCTCCACAAGATTATTTTACAAGGGTGCAACAAACATAATGCTGTTTATTTGGGGAACAAAAAGTAATTTAAAATATTGAAAAGTGCTCATTTGTTTTGTTTTTAATAGACCCAAGTTTTAAAATGAACTAAGGACGAATAGAGAAATAAAAATAAGCACAGATGCTGGTTCTTTGGGTGGGGAAGACTTTCTAGCAGATGTATCACCATCCCGTGTGGTAAGAGCAGCGAAAGTTTAAACAGACTCTGTTTTTAATAGGCAGAAGGGGGACTAAGGTTTTCTAAAGCTATCCAGAATTTTATTTTCAAATTTCTTTAACCGGGTTACATGTTCAAATTCTCAGCACCGAAGGATAACCTGGATTCTGCCCCTGCGCTATAGATATCTGCCTTAGCCACGTCAGCAGGCCAGGAGACAGACACCACATGTGGACTAAAGCACAGCGTTAAAGTTTTACTACTAAACTGGAATTAGAGCAAATATTACAAAACAGTTCTGCAAGAAACTGAAAATGAAGCATCTTTCTAAAATATTAAACTAACCTACTGAAGCTTGTAAACATTAAAGATGAATACCGTGACACAGAAATGGGGTACTGACGACAAACATGATAGCTGCACCTGACCAGGAAATGCTTGCCTCTTCAAATGACTCATCTGTAGTAATTGCCCAAAAAGACACTGTATAGGATGTAGCTTGACATAGCTTTTCAGGGCACCACTAACAGGTATGAGCACAGTTCAGCAAATGCTAGTAACTCCACGGGCATGAACATTTCATCATAAAACATGACATTTGTCTTTTCTTAACGTTTAAAAAGTACTGTGAGTAACAAGGGGAAGTCAGCTTCCAGGGTAAGGGTATCTATCCCTCCTCTCCATCACACCATCAAATCTGTGTTTCAGAAACACCAGTACTTTCAGATTTGTAGATTAAAGTTAGAGAAAGCATCAATACCACCTTCTGTAGCTTAAATATAATTAAGTATAGTCAAAGCAACGAAGTAACATTCAGATTTCAGTATTTCAGAAAGTTAGCGTTGATTTTTGTGTAAAACAATCAGCCTTTGGTGATGGTAGATCTGGAAGCCTACTTCTGCCCTAACAATGGCAACAAAAGGTGTATGTCAGATGTTACAATTTTCAGGTTAAAGACTTTACAAAACTCTCTATGATTGATTCGCTACAACACTGGCAGTGTCATGCTAAGGCCATGTGACTAATATTTTTCAGCAAATGGGAGGGGGGAAGCCAAGGTAGTTTTATAGTAGCAATAGCTTTTTATTTTAATATACTTTTGGAAACACTATACAAAGCTGAGCTTTCCCACAGCAGGAAACTCCATGACACAAACTGAGTATTCTGTGATGCTAAGAGTAGTCAGCACCAGACTTGAAGAGATAGCTACAACAGCCTTCAAAATGAAGTGTCACAATAGCAAAACAGGTAAACCAGTCTGAACAAATGACACCACTTGGGAAATGACTCCTAATTCTTGTTGGATTTCACATTCATTAAATATCTTTTACACAATTTATTGTTGATATGCTTTAAACAAAGCTTCCCTTTAAGGAATCATTGTAGTAAGACATAAATATTCAACAAGAACAGTTTTGATAAAGAATTCCCATGTTGTTCAAATTCTAGTATGCACTGCCCGAAAGAATAAAAAAAAGTAACAAAATTCGTTTGTTTAAACATGTTTATTACAACAGATACAATTCACATCTGACTAGCTTTGTTTCTCCTTTCCCCTCCCACAACCATGTTCATTGGGCCACTTCCTTATATTTGAGCAGTCAATGTACTTTCAGCACACTCGCCCAGCAGTATCTTTAAGTCCATCCTTAGAGGGTGCAAATGGATTTCAATAATTTATACAAACTGGGTTATGCTCGATCACGGCAACTTCCAGCTACTGTACACAGGAATGAGAAGGTTATAGAAAAGTGCCACAGCAACAGTGCCCTAAGAAAGGAAGGGGGCACCTTTAAAAAATGGATAAAATCAGGCCAAGGACTTCAGAGGGAATGGAACATACAGAAAACGAAAAAAATTTCTTTGCAAAACAAACGGAGCAGCACCGCTCTTGATCAGATGCAAGTGCTGGCCAGCTGTCTCATGATATTTTTACACTGCTCATAAGGTTCAAAATCGTATCCTCAGACACAGACTACCTGGTGCTTGCACTGGATTTTTGAAAATGCAAGATTTCTGAATGATAAATTAACCCCCCAATTTTTTTCTTTTTTTAAAAAAAGCTAATTTTGCAGACAGGTTTCCAGGTAAAAGGCTAGGTATTTAGCCACCTCAGCATTGATTAGTTTCAGATGTCTAAGCTCTGTTACACATGGCTTCCCATGGCTTCACTCTACAAAACATATTTACAACGTGAAGATACATCTACAAGAAATCTACATTTCAAGGGATTTACAAATCAATCTTGTGTCTTTCCCCTGAATTGACTCTCACAGACCCCCGTCCCTGTGTCATTCCATTGCCCAGCTTAACGGTCCACAGTCCACTTAAATGCAGCTCAACATGTTATGACCGGGCAACAGATTTACAGTTCCTGTATGAGATCATGTGCAATTATTCACATCTTCAAACCATGAAGGAATTCTGATTTTTTAGCTTTTCGAGTTCCTTAATTTGTTGTCTCAAAAACAGTATCCTGAAAAATAAAAGCAGAAATTAAGATTTGTATGTTACAAAAAACTATGTAAGTATTATATGAGTCACTAGTTAAACTGAATAATAAAACATCTTAGTTTAAAAATAAAAGCATGTAACAAGTCAAACATTAAAATACTGGAAACCTGAAATTTTTCTTAATTTTGTAGCAATTTTTCAATATTTACATACAGAATGATTTGAAATTTATGTGTAGCATAACCATTAAAAAGAGTTACGTGGTTGCATTGATTCTTGCTTACACTAGAGTTAAGATCGGAATTAAAGAGAGACAAGAGGCCAATGAACTATGAAGTAATCACTGTAGATGTGGATAACATGAAACTGTGCCAAATACAATGTGTTATTTCAAAATTGCGACTTTTGAAAGTGAAAACTAGGTTACTCATCACACACTGGAGACATGCAAAGAAATAGCACAGTGTAAACAGTAAATGCATACAGTTATATAACGTAAAAATAAAAATCAGCACTTTAAGGTGTGACTAATGGTATGGTGAATCCTCAGAATTACTCCTAAGGCATTCTCTCTTCTATACTTTTAAACTGTGGTAAGATATATTAAGAACAACTGAAAGTCAGGTGCCCGTCTATTACGTCGCAATACTGTCTGAGGGCCAGAGCTATTTCCTAACCAAGCCTGGGTGAAAGAATTCCAACAGATATTCGAAAGTAAGAAACATCACCAGATTAACAAAAATAGAAAAGATACCGGGATTCCAAGTTTCAGCTGTACAAATCACAACCATGTACTTATGGTTTGGGGATAAGAATGAACATTTTCTTGAAATTATGATGTATATAGATACGGTATAACACCACTAAAAAGTCTGCTTTCGTTGCATGTGTTTCAAATATACCTGTGCTATCTAATATCCTATCTATGTGAAATGCCAGATAAACAGAATAGGCACAGGGAAGAACACTAAGATTGCAGATGCACTACACCTGGATAGACAATACAGCACTGTCTTTGTTTCCCAGATATCTAAGAGTATAAACAGTAATATAAATTTAATCATGTAATCGTATACATAACTGGAAATCAAAAGGGGCATTTCTAATTCGGTGCCAGGAACATGTCATTTTTAAATGATGTGTCCTCGTGGAGCATGGCTGGCTATAAATCAAAGTGTACAGAGCCACAAACCTAAGCGGAAAAAGCCCAATAAAGCCAACACGGGAAACCAAGCCACCATAACACTCAGTAGGCAGGATAAAGTACAGAAATACTTCTACAGCCTATGAGTACTGATCATGAAGATCTGTTTTGACTCATCATTCCCACAACTGAACCAAAAGCAGGTGAACATCACCTTCCTGAAGTAGACACCCCTATGGTTCTTCCCATAATCTTCCTATTTGCAGGCTTATCTCATTTGAAGTTGCTGACTCATGAGCCGTCCTTTCTATAGGGTTAAAAACCAACAATAACACCCTAATCAAGCAACTGTCACATCAAATCACCCAGCCTTTTGTGTTAATTTTAACCTTACGAAGCTCAGAAAAGGAGCAATTCCAATACTGCAACTGCAGTGTTTTTAGCGAAGCGAGTCTCTTCATACCCCTTTCTTTTGCCCTGCCCGAGTATGAAGCATCATCTTGTACAGTAAAAACAAGCGGCACATGGTTCCCACTTACTGCTCATGTAGTCCCTTTCTTGAATATCAGATTGCCTTTACAAGTATTGAAACACTTGCATTCAAACCACACTTTTATTAAATGATAGCCCTAGCACAGGGACGCTGCTGGCAGTTCCATTACACGTAGAGATTCTGAACCCTTCAACAGAAACTGACCAGTCACAAACTACTTCCTTAAATGAATAAAAAAAATGAGGCTGATCAACTTAAACTAGATACTGTAATCACTAAGCTTTAGAAAGACTGGATTTTCTTCCTGGAAAATTAAGTAGCAGGTAAATAAGGGTCAATATAATTCTTCTGTTAGAACTCAAACAAACTGGAAAAGCTATTAAGTCAGTTAACATCCATCTGGGTAATGCTGAAGGAAGTAAATTAAGGGTTTGCCACTAGCCAATTACAGGTATCTCATGGGGGAATCTTAAAAGGTGCTTCTGACAGGTATGGGTAGGAAAAACACCATACATAATTGTAAAACAACAGAATGTTTCTGAGGCTAGAAGAATGTCAGCAAGGAGGCACTTGCTGCACAAATTAAGAGATCTGAGCTTGCATTCCCAGCATACATGTTAAAAAGGCAGATGGAAGAGCATGTGTCTGTGATCTCCGTAGCCTTGGAGAGGCAGAGACAGGAGGCTCTCTGGGGTTTGCTGGCCAAATCTAGACCCTTCCTCAAAACCACAAGGTGGCAAGCAACTGAGAAGATGCCACACACACAGGTAATACACGTTACATTCGTTGTCATGTGCTACTGAAGCTACCAGAACATTTATTTCATGTCTCCTGAGTCGTCCTTCTCATAAGACAGGCCAGTTCCCACTCATGTGACCAAGAAAATGATTAACAGTTTCAGAAATTCTAGGTGAGCATTCCCAGTACAGGTGATACTGTTTTTCCCATGGTGGGAATGGAAAGCAGGAGCTCACCCAGACTGTACACTGCTATGTCTGAAAAATCCGTCAGGAACTCATCACCTGGTTTGATCTTTTGTTATGATTTACCTGCTGTTCTTTCTTTTTTACTATTGCTTCTGATATGCTTATTAAACTCACCCATTCAAAACCCAAAACTATTAATATTATTATAATACACATATATATTATATGGAAACAATTAATACAGTGAAAAACTTACCTCTGTTCTCGCAAAGTTGCCTGAATTTCACATACTCGAACTAAAGATCTCAAATTTTTTAACTCAGTACATATTTCTGACATGTGAACACTTCCCATATTATGGGCTTCTTCTCGCAATCTTGATGCCTGTAGTTAAAGAATGAAGCTCACATAAAACATGAACATGTTTACATACACTATAAAGAATTTACACTAAAAGTACAGAATAAAACTTGGTTCATGTCTAAACACAAAAGATTCTTCAATGGTGAAGAGTGTTTCAATCAGCCCATACCTGTCATCCCAGCACTCTAGTGGAGGAAGTGGTAAGACGGTAAATTCCACACCAGCTTCACATTTACACAGCAAGTTTCAGATAAGCACCACACAAAAGAAAGAGAGAAGAGAAATAATAGAAAAGAGGGGAGAGGAAGGCAAGGCAGAAGAAGGGAGAGCCATACCTGTTTCTCTGCATGGTCTGCAGGCCACCCTTGCACATGTTTTATGAGGTTATCATTGAAGTGCGCTGCTAGAGTAGGTGTTAGTGAGCATGCAGGGCGAGCAGATGCATTCTGTGGTACCACAGCTGCAGCTGATGTATTACTACTACATGTATGATTTGGACCAGGTGACGGACTTCTCTGGCTGCTGCAAGAGAAACAAGTGAATGCACAGGAGGCTTCAAGGTAATTTCTAGATGGCAGGAGAAAAAATGTGCATTAATTTCAAAATATCTCAATTCTTAGCAAAACAGGGTTTTTCTAAAATTACCAAATAAAACCAGTGATCCAAAGTATATCATGTATTACTCAATGCACTTTTAAGAAGAGTCTTTGGAACATGGGGTTTCTATCAAATTTGAAACTGAAACTCCAAATGAGAGCAGAATGACCTCAGAGCAAAATCAATAGTCAGATATAAGGCACATGTGAATATTTTATAGACATCGAGTTAACAAGAAGTATGTGTTCAGTATCAAACTGTTCTTTAAATAGTGAAATACATTAAGGCAAAACAAAGGCATTTCACTGAGGAATTCTGAGTGAACACATTGATAACATGAGACCAAAAAAGCAACAGATTTTTTCTAAGATTCCTAGAAGCAGGGTTAAGAAGCCTTAAGTTGCTACCTCCTGTAGCCAGGCAGCCCTCCCAGTGGGTAGGAGTGGGGGCACCTTCCCACCCATTAAACTTTCGACCCAACATTTATCTTGCCTACAAAGAGTGTAGGAGTAAACTGTGTGACTTGTTCAGTAAAGTCACCCACAGACCTGTTACATACAACAATGACATTCTTCTGTGAAGTACTATCATGTATATCCTGCTCAAACAGCACAGGATGCCACATTAATAACAACTACATAGTCTCACCACACAGCAACTAACCTTAAGCGCTGAAGATTTCGAGGAGAGACAGGTTCATGCCCCTGCTGCTTGTCAGCAGTTACAGGCTGCTGTGTAGCAGAATGTGACACTGGTCCTTGCTTAACTACTGGAGTACTAACCTAAAACGTCAAAATCTGGTAAGATATCACACAGGCAAATTGCAAGAAAATTAGATAAACAAAAAAACTTGAATACTGATGACATTCTACAGGGACTAACATAATTGTCACAATTCATATACCCACACATTTAGTTAATAAACACAAAATTAGCAGTTTTCACAAAGTCAAATCAGAGTTGCTTTACTTGAGTGTTAGATCCCTTGGAGCTAGTTCTAGGTGTCTGTTGAGCCACCAAAATTGAGTGCTGGGATCCAAACTCCTATCTTGCTTCAGTAATTACTCTTAACAACTTAGCCTTCTCTCTGACCCAAAAAGTTAAAATTTGACCCATCAGCTCTTATAAAACACCCTATAGTGAAAATCATGAAAGCACATTACTAATACCAAAAATAAAAGCTATTATTCAGCAGTTTTCTAATACAGCATTTCTCTTTATGAATTCTGTAACATCAGATATACTGGAACACAGATACTCTTGATTTCAAGCACATATCAACATGAGTTTGCAAGTATGTATAGTATATATATAGTATATGTATTCAATTTGAGAAATCAACAAAAAAATTTTTTTTTGTTACCCTATAGATAAAACAAGAGAGGCCCATGGCTGAAAATGGAGGACAGACATCTGGACACACACACACACAAATCAGATGTCCTAGACAAAGATATATATATATGTACATATATACATATACACATATATATTCAGATGTCCTAGAATTACAATAATTCCTGCTTCCCTTTATCATAAACATAAAACTTTCTTCCCTTTATCATAAAACAAAAAAGGCCACAATTTTTATACAAACTAAGCTGCAAACCTCACTTTAAAAAAATTTTTATTTTTACTTTATGCACGTTGGTATTTTGTCTGCATGTGTGAGGGGGTGGGATCCCCAGGAGCAGGAGTTATAGATAGTTATGAGCTGCCATGTAGGTGCTGGGAATTGAACCCAGGTCCTCTGGGAGAGCAGCCAGTGCTCTAAACCACTAAGCCATTTCTCCAACCCTAAACCTCACTATTAAGAGGTAGAGTATCTTAATTAAAAAGAAAAAAGTGGGGAGATGACTCCATGGAGAACATATACTAGAGATGCCAACCCCAGGATCAAGACCCCCAGAACTTACATAAATGGTAGTCTAGGATGGTAGCCAACCAAACTACAGGAACAGGATTTTCAGACTGAATTAGCTAGCCTGATTAGACTTATTCATGATCTCTGGGTTCAACTGAAAGACACTGCCTCAATAAATAAGGTTGAGAAAAATTGAAGATCCCACACCCACGTACCCATGAGCCTAAACACATAAACATTAAAAAAAAAAAACCCAGTGAATTGTGATCAAGAATCAAATGTGATAGGTGCAAAGTTGATATAACTTAATTCTTAGCAGAGAAGCTGGTTCACTCTTAAAAATAAATTTGTAGAATAAAAAAAAAAAGGCTGTAGGGAAATTTGAAAAATACTAACTTTTCTACAGACTCTGTTTGTACAGAATTGCATGTCATAATCCTAAAAATAATGAGAAATGAATCACAAAGTGTACACAAAAAGGTTCAGATTCAAGCCTGCTGGAAGCTCATCCCTACTGCCTGTCTAGTATCAGTCACCTGGCATTCATTTTACCACTACCTCAAAGCACATTTCCCAAAAATACAGATTCTAAAATGTTAGAATTGCTGAAAGTTAGCCATTTTCACAGTTCTTACAAAAGTGACATACCTTTGGCTGTGCTGAAACAGGTGGAGTACTAATCAAAGGTTTAATAGGGACTGTGTTAGTCTGAGGTGTGCTTATTCTTGGAGACACATAGGATCTTGGGGATGAAGCATCAGATGTAAGAGACATTGGAGACTGATTAGATGGCTGGGCTGTAAAAGAATGATGTCATTAATTTCAAATGACCCCACATGCTTTGTGTATATAGTGAGGTCTGCTATGTCGCTCCACACATTCCAAAGATAAACAGCTGAATCTATCATAAGCTGATGTCCTTACTGAAGTAACAAAGCCCAGCAAGGGCAACTTTCCTTCCTTCTCACACTGGAAAGCTAAGCCGGAACTCATTCTCACACAGTAGCACCCTTACTATCCTTAGTTCGTATTTATTCTCCTCCTAGGTGCAGGAATTGTCCAGTTCCTTGCCACATGAGACTAAACAAAGGGCTATGGCCCTCTACCACTGAACCTCGATTCTGCAACACGCTATGTCTGCTTTGTCTGTGGACTTTCATACCCTTGTACTACTGCACCACCTCTTTTGCATAATGAGAATAGACACAAACTAATGAAGAGGCAAAAGTCACTTCTGCTTCCTCTAGTCAAAAACCATCCAACAATAATCCAAACAAACTTCCACCTCCTCAACTATATGAGTTATTTCAAAAAAGACTGAGAGTATATATATAGTTTGCTTTTTTGCGTTGAGGAAAAATTTATTTTCAGTAATTTATATTCTGATTAAAATATATGTAATAAATTAATGTATTATGAAATACATTAATAAGTCAGGCGAATACCAAAGTCTAAAGCAAAGGAAATAACATACCTGAGAGCATACGAATAGTAAAAGTCAAACAAAATCATTATAACAAATATCTTCTCAAACTGAAAACAAACTTTCCCTTAATTTCAAAGCAAAAGAGAAAGAGAATTTTATAAATAATCCAAGAGGAAGGGTACCTTGTGTAGAAAGCTGGGCAGCTTGAGAAATCAGAGAGGTGATGTTGAACGCAGATGGTCCAGCAGTAAGAAACTTGTGGATGATGGACTGCAGGGAAGCTTGTGTCACAGCTGCTGTAAGAACTTCAAACATCCAAACCCCAATCAAAACAAGCAAGTTCATCTTGCATCACTAACTTGAAATTCAGAGGTAACAATGACAATAGTAAAAAGACAAACTAGTTTTTTTAGAATTTTCAAACTGAAAGCACAGCATACGCAGTAAATTAATCGGCATAAAGACTTGAAATGGGGAGCTGGAGAGATGGCTCAGTGGTTTAAAACACTGTCTGCTCTTCTAAAGGACCTGGGTTCAATTCCCAGCACCCACGTGGCAGGTCACAACTGTCTGTAATGTCAATTCCAAGGGATCTGATAACCTTACACTAATGCACAAAAAAATAAAAATTAAATAAATTATTTTTTAAAGACTTGAAATAGTCAGAGGGAGAGAGCACGTTCACAGCAAAGGTAAACCAATTATCTCCTTGAGTCTGTTATTGGCAATCAATCAAAGAAAAAGCTGCTGTTTCACATTGCAGCTGTTTTCAACAACTTGACCAATAAAGCCCTGTACAGCAGCACTCACCATGGGTTCTAGAGGGATACCAAAACAGCTGGTACTTAGGAATATCATGTATTTTTGATGCCTAAGAATGCTTTTTATAGATGGGTTTAAATTATTACAGTTACCTTCCGGAATAAAATAAAACCACCAAAATGTAGAGAGTAAATAACAAAACCAACCAGTTTCAGAAGGCTCTACCTTTTAGATGAATAAAAATTACTTAACAGTACTATTACAAGGAAATGCATAGAGATGAAATAGAGAAAATGCATGGAGATGATCTTTGTAATAACAGATTTTAAAACTGCATGCAGACACTGCTAAAACATTTGTCTGATCAAGGACATCGGGGATATTAATTCTGAGGCAGGAAACCCCAACACAGATTTGAAAAGAAAACCAAGAATCATTCTAGAATGGAGAATTTTAGAAATAACTTTATACAGAGCAGAATATAATGCTCAAAACTGTAAGGATAGCCATTTACCTTCATTTATTTTGGATATGTCCACATTAGAATTATTAAGCTGTAGTGTGGCTTGCAAAGCAGGAAGCAACTGTCTAAGAAGGTTTGGGTCCTGAAGTAACGGAGGTATTGGTGATTGTGGAACAGGAGAAACAGGTACTGTTGAAGCAGATGTTGGAGGCGCAGACGTAGGGTTCAGGCCAGAGGCGGAAGATGTGGAAGGAGTTGTGCAAGAATGTGATACTGATTTGTCTCCTGAAGCAGATTCTAAATAAAAGGAAGATAAGGCTCAAAAAATGCCTAAACATCAGAAACTAAACCAACAATATCCCAACATTATCCCAGCAGCATAATCCACGTGCTACACACCTAACATAAACTCTATTTGATCCTCAGGAAATACATGTCTGGCTGTAATGCAATGAGGTAGATAATTATACACACCTATCTATCATTGAGAAACTGGAACATTAATCTAGTTGCTTTTAAATACCTGATAAATGATCATACACAATTTGAAAATCACAGTGCTATATGCTAAACACCAAGCACACAATGCAAAAAACTTGATGGAGGCTACAGGACTTTACTTATGTACTGTGATCACATAAGGTCAAAACTGCCTATAAGCCACAGCAATAACCAACAGACAACTGACAGTTATCAGGTAGGCACCATACCAGTCATGACCAAAATGAGCTACAAACATAATGAATGAGAAGACTATGGACAAATTTTGTGGTAGTTAAGTTGCAAAATTTTACAATGAACATTTATATCTATAAATAGGGTCTTTAAAAAAATAGTAAAAATAAAGGAGAATCCCATTTTCTAGTATTTGGGAATAAAAGATGGGTGGCCATGTATGGAAAGCCTTCATACTTTTTTTTAATTTAATTAAATTTATTTTTTATATTAGTTCATTCACTTTGTATCCTAAATGTAGCCCCCCCTTACTCCCTCCCAAACTTATGTGTACATGTGTCTACTTCCTATGTGTATATTCAATGCACCTGACCACAAAGTACCAATAGCTTAATCTTTATTGTATTTGACAAACTAGAATTATAAACCCTGAAGACATTAGCATTCTCTTAAGAAAGAGAGCACAGGTGCCAAGTCATATATCCTGGCAGATTAATAACAAACCAATTTAACTTGTGTGACTGTGTGTGTGTCTTTAAAAATATGAGTTAAGTGTGGCTACATTAGTGAGACCCTGTGTAATAGTAATAGGAAACCAGAATGTTTACAATTTTTTTCTAAAAACAACTAGATTTCAAGAAACTGAAGTGAACAAAAAAAAAATAATAAAAAACAGTAAAAAACAGATTAATCATATTGACAAAATTTATGCCTACCAATATACTAGCTTTTTATATAGTAACAGAAGCATTTACTGAACTTTTCTGAAGGAAACTAAACTCAACAACACTAAATGTAATCCATGCCATCTAGATAAGGTTTATCTGTGTGTATATGTGTACATGTATGTAACTATACATACACATTCAATAACAACTAAGCACTGTTATTTTAGCTCAAAACTGGTAGTAAGTCAAGCTTAGCAAGAATGCAACCTTAACCAAGGAAAGGGTTTTAGAAATATGGGCAGTGAGATAACAGAAGATTAGACAACTGAGAATGTTCAGTTTTCTTACAGTATTAACACTGTTTAGCAGTAACATTTGCTAAAAGCCTCCCTTTCTCTACACACCCATTTAAGAATTATGTGCATATTATGACTGTTAAGGCACAACATATGAAGCCAAGAGTCCCAAGTGTAAGACTCCAAAGTACCACATGGGAATTACATTGTTAACTAACGTAATCATAAACACCGTACTCAACTCTAAGAACTAATCCAGCAACCTTCACAAACATCTGTATTTAACTCTAAGAATTAAACCAGCAACCTTCATGGCCCTAGAGGAGGTGAGAATCACCTCAAACTTGCTGAGTCTTTTCACAATACCACTTCCATGGTCAAACAACTAGGAATAGCACCTTTCTAATGTATAAATCCCAAACCTATCTCAAGTACATTTAGTACTGAAGCATTTTTCAAACCCTGAGACCATCAGATTGCTTATCACCTACTTCCAGCTTTGCTGGTTTGGGTCCATAGACAAATGAAAGAAACATTACTGAAATGATAACAATTTCTCCTCATGAAAATCTGTTATCACCTACAGTGGTTTAACTTGAGTCTGTTATATTTATTTGTATTCATTATTATTTTTTGTACATAAAATTTGTGACTTTCTTTAGCTCTTATCTCTTTAAAGCATGTTTCTTTTACTTTCCTCAGAGACAAAGAAATTTTATTTTATTTATTCCATGAATCATTAATCACTACTTATATTCCTATGGCATCATCTTCTATCAGTGTTAAAACTGTCACCTAATAGGCAGGGTGAAGACAAAAAGATTTTGGTTTTGTTCTGATGCTGCTCAGTGTAATCAAGAACTGTAACAGTGAAATTTACCAGCTTGTAAGCAGTAAACATGCATCTCTGGTATAGTCCTTACTTGTGTTATGAGCAATTACTTTCTAATATTCTTTTTACAAGGCTGTTTCCAATACACCTTTAAAATGCCACAAAAAACATAGGAGAAAGAAGGTAAGCATTTTTTTAAACTTTAGAAACATTTTTTAAGTTGACCAAATGTGAACTACATGTAACATTTACTACATATAAATATATTTATTCAACAATTATTTGTCTCTCTCTTTCTAAATCAACCTCTCAATTTTATAAAAACATTTAGTATCCTTAAAGGTACTTTAAAACAATGAGCAGGTTGCTTTGAGGTTGATCCACTTTGGCCAGTTAATGTCCTTTTTATGTCAGCAACGAAAGGCCATTCCTGCGTAAAGACACAGTTAAGTCCAGGCTCACTCATACTTTACACCGTAAAACAGAATATGGGATTTGAGACTAAGGGACTGACTCACCAGCATATTTCTGAACTGGTCTGTTAACTTGTGCTAAGAGTTCACATGAGATCTATGAGCAGTTCTGCTTCTATAGCTGCTCTGCGTTAGAAAACTAACTTCAAACAAGCCATACCTTTAACTTACTAAATGAAAAACTTAACTTAAATTCACTGGACTCTTCTAACATGGGCTTACTTGACTGCAGTTAGGTAAGGACTCAAATCTACTGCTTGTTTTGTGAAGCTCAACTCTAGAAGGACTTTCAACTAGAAGAGACATGAGAGCAATTAGGAAAAGTCATCAGGTGCTACTTGATAAAGAAACACTTTTGTATTTCTGGTATATCTATATTTGTCTGTTACTTCCTGTTTGTATATTAAGACAGGCTAACCAATGTCCAATGCCAACTCAACAGGTACAAACAAAACAAAACAAAACAAAAAAACCCAAAAACAGCAAAAAACTCCAAGTTGAGTCCTTTGTTTCACCCCGACACCGACATTGTTTCTTAAAAAACTGATGAGGTTCACAGTTCCCCACACTTCTGTCCCTCAAGCAAACACAAACTGCTTTCTCTCAAATGCTACAGCAACATTAAATAGAACTACACCTACTGTGAGATCCTTTAATAACGCTTCTATTACAAGTAGACTTTAAAACAATGGTCAAGGCGGGCTTTTCTCCAACTCTAACACATTTATTACCATTATTCCAGGTGCCTGGTACCACCATGTACAAACAAACCACAAATGCCTTAGACTTTATCAAGGCCTGAGGACGGAGCATCACAGAAACACACAACCAAAGAAGTTACTCATATATCACTTAATTCAGCACTCTACCAGACGAGCAAATCAGCCTGATGTGAGTCACCATTCTCTAATATATATGTAACTGCTACTGTTTTCAGAGTCCCTTCTACTTCCCTGAGATTGAAAACCATTTCCTGAGCTTGAAGCTTGAATTGTGAAAGCCTTACGTGTAGGGACTTTTAATGCTGCTTATGTTGTCTACCACCCCAACCAGCTGTTGCCACGTTTTAATTTTTTGAGCATGCTAAGGTTGTATGAAGGGACTTTGTGTTGCAATGTTTACTCTCAGTTCACAGTCTCACTAGAAGTGAGGGCTGATTGGTTTCAGTGTCAAAACAAAAAAGAAAACAAAATGTTGAGTTCTGAGAATTATAAAATAAAAGAAACCTAAACTAATTTTAGTCTTGAATCTACTTAATAACACTCTAAAAGACTGAAACAGAATTTATAACTGAGTCTTATTTGAGCCAAAGAAAAGAGTATTTTACAACTATAGTTCAACGTGCAGCATCTAGTAGGACCGGCATACCTTTTCTTTCTGTTTTCTGTGCAGGGACAGAAGCTGTGGGTGTAGGCAGTTTTGATAAAGTAGATGCTCCATTAGCATCAAATGATTTCTTTGGCTGGTGATCAGACTGAAGCGTAAATGGACTAGAAGGAACAGTGCTTGGGGTAGCGGTCGGATGAACCACTGGTTTGATGGGGTGCTGGACTGGCGTAGAGCTACTGTGAGTCTCTGCTCTTGGCAGTCTGTAGTCTTTGTCATTGTGTCTGCTTGTTTGAGACAAAATATTCTGTGGGAGCAAACTACTGGCATCGCTGGAATGCTTGTCTTCCACTGTAGTTCACAGTTCGCAAAAGAGATGTTGGAATGACAGAAGGGGGGAGAAAAACAAACGCTGTTAGAATCCCGTGTCATGAACATCAGCTAATTGAGCAACATACCTGTACTTATTTTCCTTTTCATAAAACTGCAAACCCGTTAGTGGCTGCAATTTTAACACTGGCATAGAAATAGCAATACAGCATGAGTTTTAACAACTATAAATATTAATCTCTTCTCAGATTCAATAGGCCAATTTGTTTTAATGGATTCTTTGAAACTAAACTATATTTCAAAAACAAAACTTACTAAATAGTTCTAACATTTTACTTAAAAAAATGTTAAATAACACTCTAAAAATAAAAAGTCAAACATTTGATTCTTTTAAAATAATGATCACAGATTCAAATAATTATCCAGCGGTTCAATTACAAAGGAGCACCGGCTTCATTCATTTCAGTTTTTTTAAAGCTAAAGCAGCTAGCTAATATGGGTTCTAAGTGTTTTATTGTTGGTCTTTCAGTGATACAAGATGGTTTAACATACACTGAATTGTGTGTCACATACAAAACCAATAAAATATTTTAAATTATGCTGACAAAAGTAAAATAATATTTCATATGATATTCTGAAAAGAGAAGTCTAAGATATGTATATGGGCATAAGCATGAAAACATGCTTATCTCCAGCAATTACATCAGAAGCATTTAAACTCAACAACAAAAATAACTATAGAAAATAGCTGAAACTCTGGCAACAATTTAAATTTTGGTACTTGGCTTCTACAAAGTAGTACAAAAAAAGGAGGAAATTTTTAACAATTGTGCAGGCAAAGGTCATTAGTAAAAAAACCTAAAAGACAATATATTCCAAACATAATCTAATACATTCTAATATTCCGAAGTAACATCCAAGAAAATAAACACTCTTAAGAGAGTGTGACGTATCATGACAGTTTTGGAAAGGCTGGCCACTGGTAAGTATGTCTTTTCCTACTACACAGCTCTTCTAAATAAGATCAAGATGGTACAAAAGCAGACTTCTCAATCTGTCAGTTTTCAACTTGTCACTCGAAATCACCAGTGTCCTCAAGACAGTGGCTTACCACCCAAAAGCCCTCAACTGTATCAAAACAAACTCTCCAACTCTACCTAATATATAAATTCAGTATGGTACACACTGTGCCAGTAACAAAAGCAGATTCCACTGCGACCATCGTGTGTATTCAACATCCTGTACAGACACATTAATAAATTTCCACCTTGTGTGGACATAACACTATTATAATCTTTGCCTAGTTTCTTCGTACAAAGAAGATACTACTACAACCAAAACTTTGTAAGACAAGTGCATCAGAAATAACACCATGCCCAACCCTACCACTTAATTACCTCTAACTTGTATTTTCTTAACCTAGAAAATTTTCCTTTAGCTGTATATGATTTAAACGCAAAATGTTCAGATGAAATTATACTTCAAATACTTGTTAAATCCAAGACAGTAGATTGTGGGAACTGGGAAAGACGGAGCTTCAACTGCTTACTACTATCGCCAAACGGAAGGTGTTTAAAGAAAGGGTTTCTATTTGCACCCCTGCTTTCCAGACATTTCTAAATGCCACGGTGGTTGGTGTGTGACTAGCTAATCTAGCAGGTACAGTAACAAGTTATAATACAGGACAGTCAGGGGCTAAAGATGTCTCAATGTTTAAGAGCACTGTCTGCTCTTCCTAAGGACCCAGGTTCAATTCCCAACACCCACAAGACATCTCACAACTGTCTGCAACACCAATTCCAAGGGATCTGACATCTTCACACTAATGCACATGAAATAAAATTAAATAAATTATGAAAAAAAAACCAGTTCAGGACAGTCTCTCCAGTGAATGACTGCCTGATCCAAAACATCACTAGCACTATAAGAAACCCCAATCGAGGTTTCTCTAAGCTTAGAGGAGACAACACTAGTAAGGGGGGGGGGGGGGGGGGGAGGGATGCAGCTAATACCAAAATTTTATCCATACAATTCCGAGTTTCAGACTGTAGTAACATTTCCATTATCTCTTTGTAAGAATCTCCCCACTCCTTTCCTTCCTTGAAGGGGCCACACTCCAAGCATAATTCTACCCAAATGGCAATAAACACCTAACAGTTTTTGACAATATCAAATAATTAAATGGGGTACCAATTTTATTACTACAGCACCTTATAACTTAGTGGAGATATTCAACAGAAAAAAATAAAATCCAATATAGCAAAGTTCTCTCAATCATTACTTAAATATACAACCATGACTCTAGCCACAGACTGATTGACTCATCACTTGAACACAGGGGAATTTAGTTTCAGTAAAGGGACAAACATGAATCATTAAGAGTGTGAAATGGCCGAAAGCCACCCAATATTCAGACAGCAGACTATTTTGAATGCTATAATGAATCAGAATGGTACAGGCAATAATTTAACAGACGCAAAATCATAAACACAGAAGCAAATCCCTGAAACACTACTGAACAAGTGGGCTAAAACAATAAATAATCTCATTTTTGGTTGTAAATATAAACATGTCTGATTTCTACGCACACACATATAGTAAACAAAGCATGTACCTCAAAATGTTCCTGAGTCATAAGAGTGAAAGCTTCACATTCTAAGTTTTTTTATGCAGATCCACCTGTGCTTGCCTCCCTACTATAGTAACTAAAGAATTGTACCACCATATTAGGCTTATAAAATTATATACATGCCTTACTAAGTTGTCAACAGTTTAGACTTTGAAGATATGGCAACATACAAAAGCACACCCAGAAACCTTCCCTTCCTTGTTTACAATTAGATCTTAGCAGTTACCTTTATCAGAAGAATGACTTGAAAAAGATCAGAATAGAAAAACCTCAGAAATTAGAAAACAAAATATGTATAGAACCATGAATCCAGCTACAGGCCGATGGGCTCATTACTTGTACACATAGGAATTCAGTTAAGGGGCAGATATGAATCAGCTGAAATTTATCACCACCCAACACTCCTGGAAACCAGGAGACACAGACTGCCCTTTGGAAGTATTATACTAGCCTAATACTAATGACACCCTCCTGCTCCAATTCAGCACTGTCTAATTCTAGTACACAAGCGCAATAACTTCATTTTTGTTGACTTTAAAAGTTCTATTCATGTCCATGTCGCTTGTCCATGTTCCCTACCCACTAACTGTACTAGTAACAATAAACTGTATGTTATCTAATTGCTTCGAAATTAAAACCTCGGCTCCTTCAGCTCCTATTTGTTTGGTCAAAGGCAGCAGCTAGTTACCGGAGACAAAAGGCAACACAGAATTAAACTCCCACGTTTTATGTCTTAAAATACAGTGTTCTGTAATTCTCTAACTTAATACATTAAAAAAGTCACTAAAAATTAAGTATAATTTTATGCACAATTTGAGGATTTAATGTAGCTGGTCTAAAACTGCACTGTAGATAATTTTTCCCATTAAAGAGTCAACATTCCTTATTGAGCATCACTTGCATACAGCACTAGATAAATCTCACTAAAACACTATGGTATGGCCACAATTTGTCTCAGAGATCAAGGGTCAAGGATTGAAAAATAGTTTCTGAAAGATTTTAATGTTTCTGCAAAGCCTTGAACACAGCTTATACAGATCTCTAAACAGTGAAATAGATGTCTAAGTACAGAAAAATGGGGTTGGAGTCCAAACAATACTATTGTAAATACTATCAAAGATATGTTGAAAACACATTTACCACACAAAAGCTACTGCAAAGAAACAAGAGAAGAGCCTTAGTGTACATTATGTGAGCTTGACACAATCAGGCAAATGATCTACCATGAAATTTATTTTATGCTAATGTAAATATCTGATACGATTTTCTAACATCGTGAAAATGAAAAACAGAAGAGTTGTTTAAATTTTCCCACATCATTGTAATATCAAGCAAAATCCAATTTGCTTCTCATTAGCAAAGAAATGTCAGTAGTACAGTGGTGTCAATGTGTATGACTAGGACTCAGTTATTTCTTCCACCTTAAGATTATAACCTAATCCTCTTTTTAAGAACTTCAATATTTGTGTACCAATTCTGTATTACCACGAGTGCAGAGAACAGGTACACCACCATTCCACTCTGCACCCATTTCTCTGTCCAGGAAAGAAACACAGGGAGCCGAGATGATGTTCAGCATATAGAAATCCCGTATTTTTTCATGGCAATTTACACATGCAGATGGAACTTATGAATTGATAAATGAAAAAAACACTGTTTCAAAGACAACAAAAAACACTTACTTCCACTTCCACTGGTGAACCCACTAGTGGCTGCTGCCTGCATCACCTCTCTTCTGTAATCCCTGTCTTTTGGGAAACTATTAACTGCCAACTTATTTGCTTCTTTTTGTCTCTGTTCTCTAAAAGTAAAAGAGTGAAAAGAAACATTGCTTTATGAATAAAAATTACCTTAAGTACCTAGTCTCTGTAATAGCGGTTCTTGCCAAATGCTGCACAAGACAGTAAATGAAATAAAAGGAACATGATTCCAGTTGAAACTGGTTGGGAAGATGGGATTTGGGCAAACAAAAGACTAAGCCTGTTTTTCATTGAAGAGAAAAAAACTGCCAGCTATTCTCACTACTAAAACCCACAGCCTAAACTCCAAACAACAATTCTACAAATGGTAAAAGTTATCATTATTAAGACTACTATTTAAAAGTAAAATAAAGACTTGTATTGCAATGTCAAATAACAGTTAGTTAAGTATTTTATCAACTATACTGAATGCTCACAGGCCTCCCGCAGATGGTTGCCCTGATATCCAAGAAATACTTTACATGAAAGACAACAAAGAAGTTGGATTACAAAAAAGAAATAAAGGAGTTCACTGTACAGAACCTGAAGATAGTATTTAATGCCGTAGAATGCTGATATGCAGAAGTATGTAGGGAGTATTACTAGGTCTAAAGCAAATACCTTTCGAGCCATTCTTTTGGTTTCTCCCACTGTGAAACTTCTGTGCGACAATTGTAGTAGTACTTTTTCCCAGATGAGCTGATGTGCTCAGACCAGTCATCTGCAGAATCATAAGGCTTAAAAATACATTTAAAAAATTACAAAGTGTCATTTAATCATTTGACATAAAATATTAAAATTCTAATAATTTCTATACTAATCATACATGTATATATCAATTTTGGAGCACTGAGTCTTATGAAAACCTTTGTGTAAGAGTATCTGTGAAAGTTTATAGTATGACTTTATTAGGCATATGAACATGAAATTAAGATCTTGAATTTAAAAAGAATGGAGAAAACAAGTAGCTCCACAACTAATACTTTCTCTTCCAAACTTCTCAGTTGATCCCATGCAGATATGTGATAAAACATATGCATAAAAACATGATGAAATTAGAAAGTTTGAAACGTGGTTACGTGGAACTGGTGTCTAAGATTAAAAAAAAAAAAAAGACAGGTTAAAAAAGTAAGAACCTGTCCAGCAACCCTAAGGTCTCTGCAAGTTTTGAAGTGTTTTTGTTTTGGCTCCTTTACAAACACTCTGTGTCAGAACACTCAGGCCCCACTCTTCTTTTACCCTGAGACTCTGTGGGGAGTGCTGGAGGTGGTGAGCAAAACAAGCAAACAACCCCACCCACCACTGCTTACATTTAGGCAATCTCTGAAAAAACCTGAATGGTCAGAATATGTAATCCCCACAGGCTGTAGAGTAAAGCCATCCTCCCAGCACACAACATCTGTAGCTCTGAGGTATACTGCCACCAAATCTCAGCTTGGATAGTGCACTAGCTCCCTCTATAGAGTAAGCAAGCTGCAAGAAACTTTTCCTGACGGCAAACAAGTGAACTATCACCTCAACCCCATTTCTATTATGCAGTTAATTTAAAGAAGATCTTTCAAGGGCTGGAGAGATGGCTCAGCTGTTAAGAGCACTGACTGCTCTTCCAGAGGACCTGGGTTCAATTCCCAGCAACCACATGGCAGCTCACAACTGTGTAACTCCAAGATCTGACACCCTCACACAGACACATGTGTGAAGCAGGTACAACACCACTGTATATAAATAAAAATGATATTAAAAAAAATCTTTCAAGTAATGGTGTAATTTAATGCCAATATGCAATGGCAAGAGCCAACTTTTCTGACTTTACAAAAACAACGCCTTAACAATTCAAGTCCTACACACACATCACTTCCCTAAGTAAGCTTAACATGTAGCCACGTAAGTAAATCAGTTTTCAGGTATTATCACAAACACTTGAGGAAACCTGAATTTCTTTCACATGATTCAAATACTTCCAAACATTACTAAAATAAGTGTGGCCTTTTCCTCCTTCATCTATCATAAGAAAACAGGTATATACTCAGAAGCCATGCAGGACCTGTGATAACCTGTGAACACACACACACACACAGACACACAGACATATATAAAAATCTATGAAACTTCAACTAAACCATAAGTAGATTTTAATGCCTTTTTTTTTTTCCACTAGAAAGGTTACCTTTTATTAGTAGTTACACATACTAACACATGATGGGCTTGATTGGTGTTTTAAATTAATTAAATTTAAATTAATTAACCTAAGATAAAAACATTTTTATCTTCAATATGATACACAACAAATTCACATGAACTGTCTAAGAAAAGTACACAAGAATGCCTGACTTTGAAAAGGAACCTCTAAGAGGCAGGCAGCTCGCTAAGGCTCTGAGGCCACCACGTTCCAGGCCAGCCAGGGTGACACAGTGAAACCATCTCAAACCTCTCCACAAAAGGGACTTACACCAAAACACCTATCTATTCTCTCCTTAAACTCAAATTTAGATCTCTTACATGAATGTGGTTGTTTCTTCTCCAAAAATATCTCCATTAGTTGTTCACACTACCAACTTCCCTAAAACTACCAAAATGTGTTTAACACCAAAATTATTAACAGCTTATTAAATAATTAGCATGGCTGTCTGTTCAATATTTTCATGAAGTCTCAATAACTCTTAAATTTAATTTCTGTATATTAAGGAGAATGTCTCCAAGCAAAATTGGCTACAGAGGCAGGCAAGGCACCACACAATTTTAAACTCAGGAGGAGGCAAAGGAAAGTAGAACTCTTGAGTTCTAGTCCAGTCTGGTCAACATAATAAGTTGCAGGCCAGGTAGAGCTACACAGTGACCCAGGACACTCCAATGCTCCAAAATAAGAACGGCAACATAGCTGGTAACAAGAGGGCTATTAGAGAAATGCAAAGTCAAGACTGAGTTTATAGCACTTCCCAACCACACAAAATCAGGGTAGGATACATAGAGAGGCAGGGGGACTCAATCATAGTGTTGTGCTTTTGTCTTTCTTACATTTATGTGTACACATACAAGCTTGTGCATGATGGGCAGAGGCAGGAATGCCACGATAAGCATATAGAGGTCAGAGGACACTAGAGTCAATTCCCTTTTCAATTTTCCTTCTTTCCTTTGTGGAACTGAACTCAGATCTTCAGGCTTGCATAGAAAATGCCTTTAACTACTGAGCTATAGTGGCAGCCCTCTGTCATATTTCTAATTAGAATCCCCCTTCCATCTTTTTGGTTGTTAGCCTGGCCTTTAACTACTGAAGCATCTTTATAAGGCTCTACCCACTTTTTTTTTTTTTTTTTAAAGGAGCAAAGTCAGAGCCCTTGTTTAAAGTCCACATATATATGCAGTTAGTTCTTGGTTTAAAAATAACCAGCATGATTTCTTTCCTAACTTGCCCCAACACATTATCTAAAATTACTCCATATTTTATCTTATATTCAACTAGGTATTATTCCTGCTGTCCCAATTTTCTATAGAAATGTACATCCCACCCTACTTGACCAAAGAGGGGTAGAGGAGGATGTGGTTAAATGCCAACTAAAACATGATAATCACCCAGGTAAAATTTATTGAAATTTATTTGAAGTTCTCAAAGAATATTTTAAGATTCCTATTTTGTATGTTTTGTCTGCATGCAAAAATGTACAATATGTGCAGAGGAGTTTCCCAAAGAGCCAAAAGGCAGCATCAGGTTCCCTGGAATTGAGGGACTTGCCTGTTACAATTGCTTGTGAGCTGTCAAAGTGGTGCTGCTAGGATCTGAACCTGGGTAACTCCGGGAGAGAGCAGCAATTGTTCTTAACCTCTGAGCCACCTTTCCAGCTCTTCAAATGCTTTACTTTCTATACTGTTTCCTGTGGTTTCAACAGTCTACTTGTGATAACTTATAAATTTTCAAATCTATAGTTGCTTTATATTATACCCTTCATTGGTTGGTTCTTTACTTGCTTTTGTATGAAATTCACTCTCTTTAGTAACACAGACACTATTTTGTTATTCACATCTGGCTTTTTAACCTGTGGACAGTTCCTATCTTTCCTCCCCATTCCCAAAAATCCTTGTTATGCTTAAAAGAGAGAGAGAGGAAAAAAAAAAAGGGCAAGTTCTTACTAATTACCCCAGTTTTGTCTCCTGCCTCAGCCTCCCAAGTTCTCTGATTATTGTCATGCGCCATCATGTCCATGAATTTCACATATCTACTTTTAAAGTGCTGATTTAATTCTTATGACCAGTATCTTCACCCGGCTATGTTATACTCAACTTCTGAGAGATGGGAGGTCATCTTAAGAATCCCCCAAAATAAAATCCCCCAAAATTTAACTTATAAATTGCTAGCATTTGTCAGCACCACACCAACAAGTTCTACCAAAATGAGATACACTATTTTAGCTGTATGACAACTTAGCATATATATGACTAATGTATTTTTCTGCTAAATGAATGCTTGAGAACTCTCATTTGAAATGATAACACTAAAAAAGTCTCCAACTACGTCATTAATCTAAGCTTGTCTAAGTATTTAAAACTATGGTACTTTTTTTTCCCTGCCTTTGAGAACCAGGTTGTCATCCTCACTGGCTAGTAAAGTACAAAGTACAGAACAGAGAATAAATGAGCAATTTATTTATCACTAAAAGAAAAGAAACCCTACATAATTTTAAAAAGTTCTGGTCTGATATAATTTGTACCTCAGCTATAACAAAGGAAAACAAATGCATTAAGCTCAACTCTAATTCAAACATTTTAAAAATTAAAAGAAAAATTTAAGAACATTTGCAGTATGTTTTATTTTATTTTGACAGCTCCTTTACGAATTGAACGCCAGCATTTTAATACTTACTGCATCTGAAGTTTTGCTTGGATTATTGCTTGGATTAGAAGAATGTGAATTTGAACTATGAAGAGCACTGTGGTTGTGTGAATTTTCTTGTGGAGAGTAACTGGTCCCTTAAATAGAAAGAACAAAGAATAACAAGTTGTAATTCATCCTTTTTTTAAGCCATTCCACTATAAATATTTGAGTATCATAGCCTATGAATGTAACAAAAACATGTATCCCCCATTTAATCCAGACTGGCACTGAATCTGTATGGCTTCAGCAAAGACTGCTGAAATTGTAGGCGTACAATCCATAGGTGTGCACCGTAACAGGGAGCTCAACTCCCGCTTTTCATACTATACAAAATGTCTGATGCTACTACAGATAGACATGGCTTAAAAATAAAAATAAATAAAGACTGCACCTGGCTTTAATGGTGGCACAAGGCTTTACTCCCAGGACTTAGGGAGGTGGAGGCAGGGACAGAGGCAGGCAGATCACTATGAGTTCGAGGCCAGCCTCATCTTCAAAGTAAGTTCAGGACAGCCAAGGCTACATAGAGAAATACTGTCTGAAAAAACGGAGAGGTAGGTAGGTAGGTAAGTAAAAAAAAAAAAGGCTGCACAGTTGGGCATGATGGCACAGGTCTTTAATCCCAAAACTCTATGGGCAGAAGCAGTATGAGCTCTGTAAGTCTGAAGCCATTCTTATGTATGTAAGTAAATTCCAAGACAGCGAGACTTTCTTAAAATAAAACAAAAAGGAAGGAAGGAAGGAAAGGAGGGAACCATACTGTCAAGAAAATGAAAAAGGAGCACGAAAACTCAAATGGTAACGAACAAGAGAACAGAGAACTTGCTGTTTGCAGTATTTTTCAAATATTCTGATTTTTTACAAATACCTAACTTTTTTAATACTCTTGAAAATTTTTAAAGCTAAAATAATGTCAAGTTTTTAAGAGTTTAAAATCCAAGGAAGTAATCTCTTTTCCAGCTGGTAAAGAAGAAATCAGATGTTTCCTCTTGTCAGGGCCAACTCTACCTAGAAGTTCTTAAAAGTAGAGTCTTAGCAATAATCTACTCATTCCAACAAACATACATGAACAGCTTCCCTACTCTTCTTTTAGGAAAGGCCAATGTAGAGAGGTGAGAACGTTGCTGAGTACAGAGGGCTTGTCATTCACACCCAAGGCAACAAACAGATTTAAGTGCTACCACTAGAGAAACAAGAGGCCAAACCACACAAATCTAAATATGAAAAAAACTGATCAGAAGCAGCTGATCTATTCAAAACTAGAACTGAAAAACGGGAAGGAGTACACTGCCAATCTTTCACTGGAGAGCAGAAACAGATAAACTTGGCCTGGAAATTAATATACATACATTGGGCACTAACAAACAGTAGCCAGCAACAGCTATGGCCAAGATTAATTTTTGGATATGGATCCTTGAATAAGTGAGCTATGAAAAGCCTAAAATCTTCAAAAAAGCTACCGATGTCACAAAAGATAGAAATAAGGATTACTGAAGCACTGGTATGATTAACCAAATAAACAAAAAAATAAATTTGCCCACAGGACTCAAAGTAGAGATGCCTGGTGGCTTTTTCATCTACTTATTATATTACACTTACTATCTTAGATGCTGTCAAACCATAAATAAATAAATAAATAAATAAATAAATAAATAAATAAATAAATAAATAAATCCCTCCAACAATACAATAAAATCAGAAACCAATTAAAATTAAGGCCAGAGCCGGAGAGAAGTAGGCAAATCTCTAAATTTCAAGGCAGCTACATAAACAGTACAATCTTGTCTCAACAGAATGTATTCACCAGGGAACTACATTCCTGAAAATTTTCCTAACTCTATCTACTACCAGGTCCTCATCATATCTAAGCTGTGTGCACAAAATACAGCTTGTGGTGAACATCAATTTCCCACTAAAGAGTCTAAATTGTTTATGGGCTAGGCAACAGTACAGGTAAAACTACTCCAATCTAGTTTAACATTTAAATCTAACTTGAGCTTGCAAGAGACAGCATTCCACAACCTACTATCAAAATCTGATGCTGGAAGAATAAAGGGTATTTTTCATGGGTTACTAGGTAGAAGACACTGGGAAGCATAGCCCTGTATTCCTCCACACTGCATCCCATGGCTCTTTCTACTCTAGGAAATCAACATCATGGTTAAGGAGCACAAACTAGATCCTGAGTCTTCAAAACACATCTATTACAATGGGCTGATGTTAAGGGCCCTATAACACTGGTTCTCACCCTTCCTAATGCTGCAGACCCTTCAATATAGTTCTTCACATTGTGGTGACTGCCAACCATAAAATTGTTTTCATTGCTACTTCATAACTAATTTTGTTATTGTTCTGAATCTTTAGGTAAATATCTTGTGTCTTCCAATGGTCTTAGGCGGCCACCCCTGTGAAAGGACTGTTTGACCCCTCCCCAAATGAGTCATAAACCATAGGCTGGGAACCACTGTACTAAGAGATTATTACAATTTTTATTACTAATTAATACACCAAGTTCTTAAGAGACTCTTAGATATATGCTAACATTGGCAGATAAATTACGTATCAGTACATGCCATTGGAATGTCTTCCTGCACTATTCATCAAGTTGTTGCTCCCATGGATTTTCAGACAATAATGGCAAAAACGAAGAAAAAAAACACTGCTATTGTCTGAAATGAACACCAAGGTAGACTAGATGCTCTGACATGTAGATGTTAATTTTCTTAAACAAAAAGCTATGTTTAAATCTACAGAAGGATCAAGTAAGAGGTTTGCTAAAGACACAATGGTTTAAGTCTATGGACACAGTATTTTCCACGTGATGTCTTGTAAAAGTAAAGACCCAAGAATCCATATGCTTTAGTGATTACCAGTGAAAACTCAAATACTGGCAAATATTCCAGTAATTTATAAGCTTACTCACTTAAAATATGTAAGTATTTCATAACTGGCAAGAGATTATCAGTTAGCTTTTAGGTCAAGTAATACTGATCTTTAGATGGCATGTCAAAAATCAAACACCATAAGCATCAATAACACTACACTAAGGATAAACTTAACAAAAGTAACTAATGAAAGCCGAAACTTAGCAAGGCAGTTGGAAGAATCTTAAGATTTTTAAAATTATTATGTATACAATGTTTTGTCTGCATGTACACCTGCATGCCAGAAGAGAACACTAGATCTCATTATAGATGGTTGTGAGCTACCATGTGGTTGCTAGGAATTGAACTCAGGACCTCTAGAAGAGTAACCAGTGCTCTTAACCTCTGAGCCATCTCTCCAGCCCCTGGAAAAAGACTTTTATGTGAGCTTTTCCCTTCTGCATATTGGCCTTTCCAACTCAAGTGATACAATATGCAGAAGAGCAGACTCCGATTCGACTTGAGTCCTACCTGAAAATAGTGCTGAGCACAGTTTTTTTTTTTTTAAATAAAATTCTGTATCTAATGCCATAATTAACTTATAGATCTTCAGGGTGAGAAGGAAAAACATTTTTTTCTTATTGAAACAAAGAATCAAGTGTTTGGGGAAATAACATGACCAAAAGCAAAAACCATACACAAAAGTTCAACTCAATTACAGCCAGAAACCCAGGATCTTTCACATGAAGAATGAGAGATAACATTTATGTGCAGAGATAATTTCAACGTTTCATCCAATTCAGCAAATAGAAATCAAGCTATTTATATGGTCTAGTGCCCTCTCTATGCTTCTAGCATATTACTAATAAAATTTCAGCTTTAAAGAAATATCGCAGGGCTGGAGAGATGGCTGAGTTGAAGAGCACTGGTTGTTCTTCCAAAGGTCCTGAGTTTAATTCCCATCACATGGTGAGCCACAGGGTAGCTCGTAACCTTTTACAATGTGATCTGGTGCCCTCTTCTGGCCTGCAGGCACACATGCAGGCAAAACACTGTATAAATAATAATAATCTTTAAAAAACTAAATATCGCCTCTCCCACTCCACATCTTTAGTAGGTAAGACTGGGTTCTATGTGAATCATACTTAAGCCAATTTAAAAAAAAAAAAATCAAACTAAGAACAGTAAAGCACCTTAAAGATTTCTACACTCTATACAGGGTAATTTTGTGAGTGGAGGTACAACACTTGCTGTTTATAATTTGAGTGAGTTACAGGAAAAGCAAAGTTATACCCTCTTAAATATTTACTCCAAGAAGCATAACATGGATATAACATGAATCTATACTGTTGTCTTGACTGTTCAGCAGCGGATTGACAGCTTTTGCTTTCTGCTATTTAAATGTTATTTAAATACTGATGCTTCATGCTTCTGCCTTGAAAAATTTCGACGCATGAGCCAGACCAACTTTTGGTTACACGGAAATTTACAAAATACTAAGCAGCTAACTAGTACAAACTAGACGCCAAACTGACAATGGACCAGAGGATGTCTTTTAAATGAGAATGGATAGATTAGAAAACAAATGAAGGGCTTCATATCACATCTTCATTAGAAGGTGTCTCTTCAATGAGGAGAACAAACAGATTATTACAAGACAGATTTGATTACCTTTGGGTCACTGGTAACTTTAAGGTAGCCAGCCACCAGTTAGTGAACGCTTGAAACAAAGGTCATGAATTGAACTTTATCATATATATGTGATATATATGTGTATGTATATATGATATGTATATATACACATACATACATATATTTACACTAGAATCAATCAAAAATTGCAAAATATTACACTGTCATTTCTCATCGATATTTTAGATATACTTAACTAAATAACATATGATAAATATATTTTAATTGCATAGCATCTGAATTGTAGATTATACAGATTGAGTGTACAACACATGCAAAAACTATGCCGTTTTTCTAGAAGGGGCAAGGAAGTAACAGAGAATGCTGAAACCAGCTAAAAGTACTGGCTTAGTAAGTGTGGCCACACTCTACAGTTAGCAACTGCTTGTTTCTTTTACTAGTGCTTTCTTTTATACCAACTGACAAACTCTCCACTATAGAGCACATATTAATTTAACCCCAAATATGCTCATTATACAGTTTGTTCTATATTATTACATAGGCACACTTGATTCACTCTGCACACCCCAATTATTTAA